AGTGTTAGCTACACATCTGGTTTTGGGCTTTCTTTGCACAGATAGTCAGTCTGCACATTTGAGATCAGACATGCTATGTTCCCCCTGCCAGTGATAAGACACTGTCCACTGATAAGAAGATAAGGATTACTCTATTACAGCTACTACAAATGCTTCAAGGTGCATTTTTGTGTGCCATTGGTTTTGAGTAAGAATTTAAACATAAGATTTTGAGATACATAAGACTGTGTGTGCAAGCTCACCATTGAAATCCAAGTCCACCTATGAGCTTGCTATTTTTATTTCTTCTTCACCCCTATTTCTATCACTGTCCTAATCAGAGTTCCTATTTAAGGCTGAGAAACCACCAGACAAGGCACTACTCGACAACACGCCAAGTACAAAAATGTCTTTGATTTGAGCTATAACCAACCTGATTTTCATCCCCACTTAAAATGTCCTTCACTCAAGTGCACTAGTCCTTCTACCTCTAAATGGCTGGCATCAAAATGGTTGCAAGACAAAGCTTGGGTGAGTGCAAGCCAGCAGTCACTAATATGACAGCACGACCAACCGTGTGGATGCAGTTCTAGCACTACTTACAAGGTACTAATCCTTCAGGAATTTCCCACAATTCCTTCCCTTGTGGAAAAGGGAAGACAAGTTTTTTGTCTTTTATGCTGCAAAGGCATAATCACAAAGCTTATCTTGCTGTAGCACAAAGGAGGACAGGATGTGCTCCGAGGCATCTCGGTCCAGAACTCAAGTGAGGGTACAGCCTGTGGGGACACGGAAACCTGAAGTTTATTTACAGGATGGCTGTTCATATTTAAGATGGGCACACTCAAGAGAATTATCTTGAGTAGCTATGATCTGGGTTATGCCCAACAAATCTGTATCCCAAAGAGTTTATCACATAAATCAGAGCATTTTCGACACTGCTTTTGAGCGGAGCGTGTGTACTTTCAATAAACTAGAATGAAGGCACTCTTCGGTTTTTTTATTAAATAGGTTAATTTATCTTCACCCAAACATTTGCTTTCCTGCAGAGTTATTAAAACTGTCTGACTTTCAGGTGAATACACAGTGAACAAAGGACTGCTCTACTTTCACTTATCTAAATTCTGCCAGATCAATAAATACCCAAGCAGTGGATAGGATCTTTACAATTCACAATTAAAGAGTCCAGTCTGAAAACCAATGAAGACATCAACAGCCAAATGGATAGACTGTACCAAACAAAACTACACGATAGTACTCAGTATCTACAACTCCAAGTGACTGATCGCTTGCTTTCAGTTTCTTTGAACTCAGCCTCTATCCACATTTGTAGATAACACATTAAAGACAGAGATAGATACACACAAAAATAACCATGCCAGCTAGAGCTAAAAAACGGTGCAAAGTCAATACTTGGTTGAGGTTTGACAGAGCGTACCCAAACCAAATCCACTTCCCACTATGAGCAATCAACTAACCCCTGCACAGCACATCGCCCGAAGCAGATCAAAGCCATGCCAGCCCACAGGTACCCCAGAAACAAGCCCATCTCACCCCTTTGTTCTGAGGAATACACTGACCTCATCCTGCTACAGGAGCTGCGGGATTGCAAGGAACAGCCACATGCAGAAATCTCTAATCCAGCAACCCAGAGAGAACACAACAGCAGTTGTTGAGTATTTCATTACTCGCTTGAATTCTACAAACAGAATACCAGATCCCCAGATGAGAAACACACCATTCATAATTAAATAGCAAAATTTGGCATATACCAGAATGACTTGGTCTCCAGGAGTATCTAGCTGCGTGCTACAACTGCTACCAAGGACACAATTGAAGGGGGTTTTTAGGCTCTTCTTCCGCTAGCAAACAGTGCCAAAGGTGTGAGATAGCATCACTAATTCTTTTTTTTTTTTTTTTTTCAGATTTTCTTTTGCTGTACATCTAGAACAAATGTAAAGGCTTCCTGACAAGCAGTTCAAAGTACCTAAAAATCTCATGCAAGTAATACCAATAGTTTAGAAATCGACACTAATACAGAAATTGGAACACTTCCTAACAAATACAACCAAAACTTTCCAAGACAGAGATCCCCAGCACCAGATTGCCTGTCCCCAGGGAACAGCAAAGTATGGAGATAATTAAGCTTACTTGAGTTTACAACTTGTAACCTTCATGTCATTTTAAGGAAACAAACTATATTTAAGAAAAAAAAAAAGGAAGAAAATATTTACGTTTTGACAACATACAACTTGTTCACATCAACGACCACCACGTAAGTTCCCATATGTTATCAGAAGGAGGTTTACAGTATGATGTGACCTAGTGTACAAATCCAAGACTTTCAAAGTATGGCTCACATCCCACTGTCAGCACTCTGCAGCTCCCAAACCCATCCTTCACTTATGGTTATTCAGCTTCTCTGCAACTGTTTTCACTGAAGTATTTTTAGCATCCATCTGAAAATACAAGTTTTACCCTCTGGAAAGAAGCTAATTGCACCAGCACCTTTGCTCCACACTGTCCCATTTTGGTCCTCTGTCCTTTTCAGCTAGCAGGTCCCAATCTCCCTTCTCCCATTTCTTGAACTCTTTCTTCCACTGTTTCTTTCCTAATCTTTGATATCCTGGTTTCCATGGTCATGCTTAGCCATGTTATCACCTTTGTCTTGCCCTACATAGCATACTTACAATCTCTCTACCTCACCTCCTTGCCACCTGGGTTTTTCCCCATCTCGCTTTTGACCAATTGCTTCTCTGTTGTTGGTGTCGCTCCACCTCCCTCTGTACTCCACCTGTACCCTCTTTTACCGCTACAGCAACAGTCCTAGCAGACTCCTTCATGCCAGTTTCTCCTATAAAGCTGTCAAACTTTAACTGCAGACACCACCAGAAATAAAGTAACCTATAAGGCTGCAAATTGCCAGCTCCCTGAAGATCACAACAGAACCTTCACAACAGACATAAAACCTAGAAGCCCTCATTCTGCCATACACTTGGTATTCTGCACAGCCTCAAGGAAGAGGATGTCAAATAGCCTGTGATCCCTGCAGCAGGCATATGGGTTGTATGGATCCGTGCCTCTACATTTCTTGCAGCTCTTTTCATTCCCTGTATCATAGTGTGAACGCAGGGAAGAAGTCCATCACCAACCTTATGAAAACGCAAACTAAAAGAACACAGGCCACACTCTGAACATGCCCTTCTCATCGTGGGTGGGGGCATCAACACAAAGGAGAGATACGGGTAATTTGTACAACTTTTTTCTGTATGCGGACAACACCCTATAATGATAAGGGTAGACAGTTTGGCACACATATTTTGTTCACAAGGAACAGTCCCAAACTTTTTTCTTTTAAGGAGGATAGGGAACACCTGACCTATTTCCATCTATTACACGTCCATCGCTAGCCCATCCTCACAAAGACAATGCTCACTCTCAATCCACCTCGTTATCCCTATTGGAAAAGGGGAACTGAATGTCATTGCCACAACTTCCAGCCCAAACAACTTATCACAGGCCAAGTTCACAGAGCACAAGCTCCAGGAGGTCGTATATCCTTGGGACAACGCAGTGAAACAGTATTTTTTGCTTAGGGAAGCCACATTCCAGCAAAAAAGCCTTCACCGAGGCGCCGTCTCCAGTGACGGAGGCGATACGCACCAACTGTGTTTCCTTCACAGAGGAATCCCACCGGAGCGGTGTAAGAAAAGGCGGGAAGAGGACAAGCACTTCTCGTGATTTTCGGGTAACATTTCCCACGGGGGCTATTTCTCACACACGTGTAAAACGTTCCCGTAGCTTGCTCGTGGGCAACTTCTCAAAGACGCCTGTCCTGACGAGGGACCCCGCGACAAGCCACCCCTGACAGGCTGCCAGCAGGCGAAGCGCACGCCAGCGGGGTTTTGGTCCTGGGGGGCCACCACACAGCGCGGCACCCGTCTCCTCACGACGCCTCCCTCCACAGGTGCCCGAGGAGCCCCCACAGGGGCTGGGGGACCTCGGTGACAGCAGCACCCGGGCAGCAGGACCCGAGGAGCCCGACACCCCAGACTGCCACCACCATGCCCGAGCTGACATACGCGGGGGG